AAAACCCATCGATTGAACAAGTTCAAGCGCAAGAAGCACGTGATGACTCAAAACCTTCTCACTGGACAAACAGCTGCTTCTGCTGACGAGACTCGCTACGCTCAGAATCCCAAAGGCGAGATCGTGTCCCATTGGCATCCGAACTTGACCATCAACATCGTCGCCGATCACACGGGCTGGACGCCGGGTGCTGTGCCCTCTCCTCTGGACTCGTATGTCGACTTCACTGACGATGGCACCCAGTACAAACCGATTGTGTACTTCAACACGTACTGGAACCTCGTTCGCGAATACAGTCCGATAAACAAGACGACGAAATCCCTGAACCTCACGCTGACTTTCCAGCCGATCACGCTGTTCAAGTGGCAGATGTATTCCGCGCAGCAAATGCGATCCAAGTGGATGTCTGGCATTGTGGGGGATGCTTTTGGCGAAGAGGAGGAGGAGGAGGACCAGGATTCATTGAAGGAAGCTCTGCTGGAAACGTCGCCGTATTTGTTGGGAATCACGTTTGCCGTGTCCCTTTTGCACACAGTCTTCGAATTCCTTGCGTTTAAGAACGACATTCAATTTTGGAAGAACAAGAAAAGCCTGGAGGGGCTCAGTGTGCGATCAGTGTTGTTCAACCTGTTCCAAAGCGGTGTTGTGTTGCTCTACATTTTTGACAACGACGCGAACACGATTGTGCGGATTTCCGTGTGCGTCGGTATGTTGATTGACCTGTGGAAGATCCCGAAAGTGCTCGACATCACTGTCGATAGGGAGAACAAGATCTTTGGTATTATCCCTCGGGTCACCTTTGCAGACAAGGGTTCTTATGTCGAGTCGTCGACGAAGGTGTATGACGACCTGGCTTTCAAGTACTTGTCGGTGGCCCTTTTCCCGTTGTTGGCGGGTTACGGAGTGTATTCATTGATGTACAATGAACACCGAGGCTGGTATTCGTTTGTGCTGTCGATGATGTACGGATTCCTACTCACGTTTGGATTCATAATGATGACGCCGCAGTTGTTCATCAACTACAAGCTCAAGTCTGTCGCACATTTGCCGTGGCGAATGTTGACGTACAAGTTCTTGAACACGTTCATCGACGATATGTTCGCGTTTGTGATCAAGATGCCGACGTTGTATAGGATCGGGTGCTTTAGGGATGACGTGGTGTTCTGCGTGTTTTTGTACCAGAGGTACATCTACAGGGTGGACCCAACACGGACAAACGAATTCGGGTTCTCGAAAGAAGAACTTGATGCTGCCGGTGACCGCGTGCGAGATGATAAAGTTAAAGAAATTGAGCCCAAGAAAGAAGAAGAAAAGGAAGAAGCCGATGTGGAGGAGGATGAGGAAGGAGAAACGCAAACAGAATCCTGTGAAGGGGAGGAAGAAGATGAAGACGGGGGAGAAGGGGATGAAGATGAAGACGAGGGAGAAGGGGAAGAAGAAGAGGATGGGTGGAAGTCGAAAGAAAAGAAGACTGCGAATTTACGGAAGCGGGCGAACAAGGGAAACTAGAAAATCGTTAAACAATTATACCCGCGATTGAATGGCATCTTTTTTCCCCTTATTGTTGATGATTCTGTCAACAGTAAGTAAGTATGGTAATTACAATCATGATTTCGAAAATAATTGCAATGGTGGGTATTTCTAAATAGTGCCGCGTTTTCCGGAATTGCAATAGATACTACCGTAGGTTTGTTTGCTAATTTTTGAAAGTTTGGATGTCCAAATGCTCGATCATGCTCTTTAATCTACAAGTTTAAAACGTTTTTTTCCTCGTTAGGATTTCAAATGTCAGCGAAAAGAACCCTTTCTAAAAAAAGAGAGACTTGAGTAGATCGTCTTCAATGTGTTCATTCTATTCATGTTTTGTAGTGCGTTTGATTTGTCTGCTTTCCCAGCAGTTATTAATTCATCTGACTGCTTCTAGCAGTGATCAAAATCATCTTTCTATAAAATTTGTGTACGTAAATTTGTGTAATGTGCGAAAAATTGTCCCTTGAGCGAAAAACTCAACGTGAACTCGCGTGGTTGAAATTTTGCCTTTGAGATTTTAGAAACGCAGATGCTTGCGTTCGAGATGTAGTTCCTGAAGTTAATATTTTAATTTTCCCCCCTTCGTCACATTCCCTGCGTTGAAGTCCAGTTGTTCACGATCTAAAGTTACGAATGAGAAGAACAAGAAGAGGAAGACTAAGTTCTCTATGAGTTCGAGAACGCGATTGTTGAAGGCTGTTATGCCATGTTTCTGTTTTGTTGAACTTCCTGAATTTTGGGGAGGGGTCTTCATCCGAATGAAAAGGGAGAAAGTTTGTGACTGTGAGGGTCCGGATGCAAAGCTTGCTTCTGCGTCAATCGGGCATTGATACGACTCAATAGTATGTAGACGTCAACGGGCTATTTACTGCGAAATGTTAGTTGAAATATGAGTTAAAGATGTGGTTCAGGCTGTTCATCCCTGCGTTGCTTTATTATTCCTGTTGTATTTTGCTGACTATGAGGTTTGGGAGAAGCAGGGATTAGTGTAACCTAGACAAAATCGTATCATGTGTCTCCCTAATCCGTTGAATTTGAAAAGAAACGTATCATTTTATCTTCGTTGATTCCCTGATATCTGATACGAAACATTCTCTCATTGAGTTTCCGGATGCCGTATTTACGTGAATGTAAGGCGCAATTTGTTATGACTCATTTACTCAAGTACCACACAATCCAATTTTTGATGAAATCTTATACCTGAGTAAGACAGTCACTCCATTTTCAGGGACTGAAAAATGACCATGTTTCAAAAGCAAGAGACACCAGAATTCTAATGTGAGTACGAATTACATCTGAATTCATTTTAATTTTCCATCATTTTTATTTTCAAGAAGTCCCCTCTTAAAATGTCCCATTATATTCAAGTGCGATGCATACTTGATCTTCTTTATAAATTTGAAAATTGTATCGTAGCCCATGACATGCGTGGTATTCTTGTAAATACGTTACGAAGCAAATTAAAAAAGCTCATTTCATGAAGCATATTATCTTTTTGTGAGGTTTTTTGTTCAGACACGTTCATCAGTGTATTCCTTGCAACAGTTGATAAGAAAAAGACTGATCTGTAAGTTGCAGGTTGTCATAACAGTAAAGCTTTATTCATGGCGTTGCCGTTCTTATAATTTCAAAGATCTCAAAGATTCAAAGATGTCCAACCTTCATAAATCGGCGTATTGCGATTCGAATATAAATGTGGGTTAGTCAGGTCAGCAAACCTTTTTCAGGTTGAAGGGCTGAAAAAATGAAGTCTTTTTTATAATGAATGGTGTCTCGTATTTGCGTAAATAAGGTGGTCGTTTAATAACTGTGACGTTCATTTCTACCAATGCCTAAATGGTCAATGAGGTTCTAAGGAATGAATTTTTGAAAATTGGCAGCTGGAAACCTCGGTGTTGATATCTAGTCGATTGCAATGTGCTGTTCTCACCGCCTTCCAGAAATCTGTTTCAGTGTGGTGGCAGAATTTCGCAGTCGTCGCCGGGCGGATGAAAAAAAAAAATCATCGTTTGCCCTCTGGTTCATGTTTGCAATTTTCTCTCTGGCCTTGATTTAGCTTGCGTGACGAACCTTCTTGTTTACGGAATTAGTTTTGAATTCGTTGCGGTTTTATTGTGTGTACGAATTTGTTCCGACGGTGGAAGCGAGTGCTTGGAAGCGCGAATATTAAATGTGCTGCAAGGTTATTCAAAGTTCATTATTTCGTCGTGAACTTGCGGTACTTCCAGCGCTCGAAATCTTGAAAACCGTGTGAACGATCTGGTCCTTGTGGTTCAAGTTCTGTCTTACAGAATCAAGGCCACCTTTTTGAACCGTGAAAGGCTGTTATAAGTTTTTTTTTTTTGCATCTGAGCAATTTTTACGAACTTCTAATTCATATTGATATTCATATTATAATTCATACAGAATTTGTATGTGAATTCAAAATTATTCCTCCCAATTAAATGTTTTCAAGTCAAGATTTTTTGAATCTGGATATTGTATATTGACATTATTGACATGCTTCCGCTGAAATAACCTAAAAAATTTGATGGACACTTGAGCCTAAAAATTACCAAAAATCTTGCCTTGAAAACATTTACTTGGGAGAAATAATTTTGAGAAAATTCATATGCAAATTCTGCATGTGAATTCAAAATTATTTCTCAAAATTACTTCTCAAAATTACTTCTCAAAATTATTTCTTCAAAATTATTATTTCAAAATTATTTTGTTTTCAAGCCAAGATTTTTGTTATTTATAGGCTGAAGTGTCCATCAAATGTTCTAGGTTATTTAATATCCTGAATTCTGAAAGGTCGAGATGCGCAACATTAAATTTCGAAAAGATAACTTTAAACCTGCTTATTTTATTTTTGTCTATTAATCATGCTTCAAGAGGTTTCGAAGATTGTTGGCATTTTGAAGCATTTGAACATGTCTGAGAGTGCTGGAAGTATCAGTGGTTAATTGGGTTGTAAGCTGGAAAAATCGGAACGTGATGAGTTGTGATCCATGCTTGTGCCGTTTCTTTTCTGATTCTAGAACGGTTTTTGTTTTCTCGCAAAGACGCGATGTTGAAGTCCGAGGTGCAGAAAATGGAAGCAGCCGCTCGGGTGCTCGATCATCGCGAAATTGCGGAGATTTCAAAAGCGATTCTCAATTCCGTTCGCGATGCGGATATGGACGAAAAATCGCGCGTTTTTTGTGCGATGAGTGGCATTTTTGCAACCTTGATGGAGAAGCGTTGCGGAGACGCTCAAGTTTTGCCTGCAGAAGTAGATGATGTCCATGCGTGCCTTTTGACTGTGGTGCGAGTTCTGTCGACGCTTTTGAAAACTCAAGTGAGTATCAATTTCTGGGAAATTGCGTGAATTATTCGCGATACTGTAAATTAAAACGTATGAAATCCTGCGTTTACGATGTTAAGTTTTTTTTTGGATAACATGAAATCGTGAATGACTAACATCTATTGTGTAGTTGATTTTAGGAGTCCACTGTGAGCATTGCTATTCAAGAAGGTCTCAGAAGAGTTGCGCAATACAAAAGGGATTACGCAATACAAAGGGATTAATTGGATACAAAGGAGATTAGTGTGCTGGTGAATCGGGGCTGAAAATACTTCTAAACAAGCTTCGCTGTACTTTGAAGGCACCCCTTGGAATATGTGCCGCGTCGAATATTGAGAATTCTGAAGGAGACGCTGGGTTTTGCAAAATTTTTTTTTTAGATCGGTGCCTTATCTTTTGCGTGAAGATCATAAAAATTCCAGGAAAAATGTTGCATAAATTTTCTTTAAAAATACCTCAAACTAAGGATGCCCTAATTTATCTGATTTTACTCATTTTTCATTCAGACCAGGAACTTTTTGTGGCCCCAAGTGAGTTGGCACTAAATTGGGGTTTCCCTTAAGAACACAATTTGTGGCATTATGCGGAGTTGTCACTAAATCCAGGGTTGACGGCATTTTATCTTCAGCAGAACGAAAAATCGCAAGATTTGCTACAACGAGCTCGTCAGCTGGTTTGTGACAAAACTGGTCGAGTTCCCGCTGATTTGCTCATCAACGGCGCGATAATGTTCCTGAAACTGACCTGTTCAAGTGGTGACCACGGGGTCGGGAAACTCTTGTCAACGGAATTCACGGCAGAAATGCTTCCGCTGAACCAAGCCTCATTCTTGGTTGCCTTTCTCGGCCATGAATGCTCAACGTGTGTTCAACCGACTGTTGAATGGTTGGACATTCTGCATACTAGAGTTCGTAAGGGTCTTCGCGAATCCGAGAAATCCCATGACATTCAAGAAATCATTGGATGGCATCGTTGCATTTTTCACGGACTGAAAAAGCTCTCAACGATGAAAGAACCGCTTCCGAAAAGTAGTGAGTCTCATCATTTGTACAGTACATGTTTCCGTAATTTAGAGTCATGAAGTCAGGTGAAAATTGTTGCTTTCGCATGAGTTGGCTGATTCTTTATTTTGACTAAAAGGAACAGCAGAAAATTCCTGCCGAGGATCAGGAATCGAAAGTAATCATTGTGAACTTCATTCCGAAATTTGTTGGCTCTCTAAAAAATCAAATTCCCGTATCTGTTAAACAGTCGAAGTATAATGCATTATAATACGCACAGTAGTTCAGAAATATTGCCTCACAAGTTACAATTTTAATTTTAAACGATGCCCTGGAATTCCTATTCTGTCCCTTTTTGGTCAATCTGATCAATGAATATTCATCTTGGAAATTTCCCTTAATCCCAAATCAAGCGTTTTTATTGTGTACAGTACTCTTACCAAAGGGCTTTGCAAAAGTCTTATGAGTGAACCTCAAAATTCAGATACAAGGTGAACTAACTGCAGGGTTATCTTGCAAAATATATATCAGATTTACAAAACATGTTCAACCCATTTTGACTTTTTTCTGTGGGTCAGGGGGTACAATTTTTATTTGTGAGTTGAAAGGAAACTGCTTTCTTTGAAGATGAAGTCAAATAAAAATACGCAGAAAATTTTGAAAACTCTTAAAACTTTAAATTATTGCATTTCATGGAGAAAACTTGGGTAAGAACCCTGACTAATCCCAGTCCTTCAGTAAGCTCATAGCTTACTCTTGATGCAAGTGAAAGTCATGATGCTACCTCAAACATTTCAGATATAGAAAGCATGTGCAGCTAGTGTCAAATGAGGAAGATCTCAAGATGTTCCAGTGTGTGTTTAAACTGAATTTTCAAAAAAAAAATATTTTCACTCCCCTGTGTATTGTACTCAGTTATGCTATTGCAAGTCATATAAGTATGCGATCCAAAGAGACACTTGGGTTTTTGATGAAGTGAGTGTGTTATAGAGCAGTGTTCCCCAAACTTGAGCGCGTGGACCAGCAAATTCCCCCAAAAAAAAGTTTCTGCGGACCAGCAAAGTTTCATTGCATTTCTGCAGACTTGCAAAAGTTTTTCTTGACAGACTTTATGAGAGACATTAAAAAATTTTTGCTATTTTGCAAAAATTCAGTTGAGCAACAATGAAGCAGCTATGCCTGAATGTCATCAAAATGAGATTTCAAAATTCCTTGCAACTTTCAGGTTTTCAGAAATTCCTCCTATGATCCTTTTGATGATATTTTTAAGTCTGCAGAATAATAAAGCGTACGTTTTAAATCAAATTGTTCTCGACTATATTCATTTGCAATGAATGGATTGACGATTTCCTTACAACCTCCAAGGTGAAAATATATTTAGCTTCTTTTTTGAGGATTTTCGATTGAACATTAAATTTTTCAATTTTTTGCGCTTTTCCGTGATGAAAAGTCGTCCATGGATTCCAATTTCTGAACTTCGTTTCTAATCTTTATCGATTGGTGCATGTGCTGAAAAAACTTCTCAATTACTTCATAGATGCCAATTTTGTTCAGGCTACACTAGGTCTTTTTCAAATTTTTCAATCACAAACTTGGATAAATTTACATTTTATTGCAACTTATAAAGTTCGAGAAATTCCTCGTATGATCCTCTTGATAATTTAAAACCTGAAGAATACAGGTTACATAACTTACACTTCAAATGAAACTATTTTCAGCAATACTCACTTGCAATGAATGGATCAACGAGCTCTTCGCAAGTTCCGAGGTAACAGTCGACACTGTTCGGCACATTGCACGGGACTGTTTCCCCATGTTGCTTGCAACTTACGCAAAACTGGATCCATCTCGACTGAAATGCGTTGTCGAGCAGTTGAGGGACATGGAACCCCACAGGAAGAGCCGGTATTTCGTAATATCTTACGTGTCGAATGTGATCAGTGTTGACGTGATTCTCGCAATATGGTCGAATCTACCTCAAGATTTACTGAAAGTTGTTGATAGGAATGCTGTTATAATAATCTCGTTATAGTAAAATAACATTCAAAAATCAAAAGCTGTAGAAAATGAGGACAAAAGAAATTTGTTTACCAATTGGGAATTTCAATTTGTTGTTTCAACTGCTGTAACCGACTTTTTGAATAAATTTTAAAAACCTTCCAGTGAAAATTGTCAAGATTCAAGATTTAAACCTTCCTCTCTGGGCATCTGAGTTTTTCTGTTCACATTTTTACTGGACTTATTTCTGGCATTTTGACAAATTCCAATTGATTTTGAAGTGTATTCCAGCTGCATTTGTTCAAGTGTTTTGCAGTTTTTCAAAAAGCTTTCATTCTTCCTGGAAATTGAAATGTCCAAATTTGGGTGATTGAAAGGATATAGAGACAGAAAAAGATAACAATCCAAGACAGAATTTCTGTGTGCTACAAGAATACAACTTAGTTCACAGGAATGCAAACTTTAAGGCTTGGGACATTTTTTGCTGTGCATTGAACAGCGTTACCGTCCAACACTTAAACACTCAGGAAGGAGATCAGGCAAAACTCATGTGTGTGTGAAAGGAACAGAAGGAATTTTTCCTCAAGTTCAGTTGCAAACCAAAAGCATCAGAAATATTACTACATGAATTAAATAATGGTTTTGCTGACTCATGTGTGCTGTAATCTTTTGAAAGAAAAGCTCTCAATTGAATAATTTGCACCTTGATTCCTCACTTTTGCATTTCGATTCAGCCGGTTTTCTGCATTCAAAACGTTCAGAATCTTTTTTTAAAATTTAATGTTCGTGGACATGGTTTTTTTGTGTAAATTGTGATAATTTGATGACAGATGTAACAGTTCGAAGGGGAGGTACAGTATTCGAAAAACTCCTGCAAATTAAGCTTTTTAGATGATCTCCAACCATTCTGGAGATATCACTTTTGTTCCAGCCTTTAAAAATGAAGAAATTCGCATTCTCGATTCGTTAGATGCGATGGAAAAGCGGAGGATTTGTTGAAAAATCTGGTCATCGTCGACTCGAAGGTGGCAGCCTCCATGTGCGACGCGTTGGATTTCGAGAAAGTCACAGAGCCCCAATTGCGACTTGTGCTCAAGTGTCAGTTAGCCTTGAAGATGAATAACAAGGGAATCGAAGGATTGGAGAAATTCGTCGATCTCGGTCTGATGCGTCGAAGCGAAGAAATCTGCCTCGCCGCGTTTGCCGCCGAATGCTTTTGTTTGCAAACTACGAAGCCGATTCCAGAACGCACTTTTGCGAGTTTCTTGATTTATTACGACTCTGGAAAGTTTACAAGAGTCGCTTCAGTGAGACAACGGGCTTTGGCAGTAGTGAAGAAATTTCTGAAGTGGATCGCCGATAGTTGTGCGCCCAGCAAGCGAAATGAAGGCAGAAAGGATCACGACGAGCACGTGATGAAGGCCCTGACGTTCTTCGGCGACTTGTTTGGAAGAATTTGCCGGGATTTCGTACCCGGGGCCCATTATGCTTCCCTCAGTTTTGCACTTGGCGTTTTGGGCTTGATTTCCGGGGAGATGGGCTGGGATTGTGAGCCGTTGGGCTCGTGGAGTGAAAAAGGAAATTGGTGGAAACGTTTAATGCCGGGATTGCTGAGCTGTGTTCGAGAACCATTCGATGACCTGAAGGAAGCAGCTTTAAATATTCTACGAAGCTTTGATGGTGAGTCGGAATTCTTTCATCGTGGTTCACGCTTTTCGAGGGAGAATCCGTAGATTCAACGGTTCATTTTCAAGTCAAACACTTCAAAGTGATTTCTGAAGTGTAAAAATCAACTTACTGTGCGAAGAAAGAATCATTATATCTTTGGATAAATTCCGAGACATTTTTTGAAGGGGAGTCCTCGCATAACGGAAGAACCACGCAACGAAAAATCCGCATAAAGAAAATTCTCAGTGTTGAAGACGTGATGCAGAATAAAATTGTTTCACTTGACGAAATTTCATGGCTAAAAAAACTTTCGAATTTTGGCGAAGTTTGGGCTACACTTCTGAAACTTGCAAAAAATCGAGGAAAATTATAAAAGAAGGGCAAAATTTTGTCCCTTGTGTTGGGAATTTGTGAAATTCGGAAAGTTCATAGCGAAAACTTGTCTGGCTTACCTAAAATTTATAAATTCCCGAATTCGTGCTGGAAACAAGAAAAAATGAAAATTTGTTTAGGGTTATCATGGTCTTTTGTTGAGCGCCTGGAACGCGATTAATTTATTTATAATGTAACCTCAATGAAAATCGCGTTTCGCATTACGAAAATTGAACATGACAAAACCGCATCCAGGACTGATTAATTTTGTTGTGTGAGGACCCATTATAATTCTCAATGCTGTCAATTGTGACAGTAAGTCTTGAACAGACATATTTCAGTGCTGCCCAGTAAAAGGCCCATGGGCCAGATCTGGCCCTCAGATACTCTTCATCTGTCCCATGGTCCCATCCTCATAATTTTCAAGGTGACAGCAATCACTATTCAAAAAAAGTTATTTTCAAAGATGAATCTCGAAGTCCAAAAGGTTGCTTCACTTTTCAAAAATTCTATAAGGTTATGCTTTTGATTCAATGCATAGCCCTTAATTAAATTTTCAACTTTTCCGTAAAAATGGGGACATTTTGAAGCAAAATGTATTGTCTATGTTGGCCTACGAGGACTACACACTTTTGCGACTTGGCTTTTGTTTCTAGAAATGGCCACAAAATGTATGAATGTGGCCCTTTGCCACGCCTGAGTTGGGCAGCACTGGCATGTGAAGTTTCTTGGTTAAAATTTTTTTTTTTTTCAAATAACGCCATTTTTGATAACGGGTGTAAAATTCTTCCAGGTTTCCGGATAGAGCCATTTGCTGAAAGCCAATTTCTGGACCATTTGATCGTTCAAAGTTCGGGTTTCGACGCCAAAACCGCATCAAGTGCTGCGTGCATGATCGGTCTTTTATCAGTAGCCAAAGAAGGAACCGGGATCCTATCCAAACTGAAGTCAGATCTCTCAAAAGCTGTCGAATTGGCCGAAGAAGATTTTGTTGCCGCTTCGGCATCGTCTCCCATGTTTGGTACTCTTTGTGCTATCCGAAGGTGCTTCAAATCCTCAGAATCTCTGGGACGCCAAAACTTGAACATTATCGAAGAAATCATGGCGCTGACGAGAAGATGCTGCGTTGTTGCCCTTCCGGTGTCGGCCTCGGAATCACCGGAAGGATTTCTACCGGAAATGGCTGCTTCAAACGAAGTCGAAGAACCGACGGAAGAGAGTAACGTTCAGTGCGTCACTTCGAGGATGATATTATCTTGCTCTTGGAGAACTTTGAAGGAAGGAGCTAATTTGATTCAGGTCGCAGTTGAAACGTTCATGCACGATTTCGACCCCGGATTCTTGATTGACCTCACTTCCGTTCTTGTCGAAATTCTCGAGGTAGTGAAGCATCGCGCAGCGTTTGAGCAAGTGTTCTCGTGTTTCAAGTCCGTGTGCTTTTCATTTTGGCGTTGCTCAAACCCGAGCCTTGCCAAACAACCTTCAGCCTGGCTTGAATCCCTTCTTGGCAAGTTGAGCGACACTTCCGGTGTGGAATTGTGCACGACGCGACGTGGGGCCGGTGTGCCTTTTATTTGCCAAGCAATCCTCGCCACCGAACCGACTGTGAATGCTTTTAATCATTTGCACAAAGCCATGCAAACCCTTTTCAAGTGTAGTGATATTGAAGTGAATTCCGTGACTTGCGTGAATTTGCTGCGCGCTTTGTTTTGCGACTCGGATTGTTGTGAAGGCACTTCCGTGTTTGTGGAACAAGGCTTGCTTTTGTGCATCCGAAACTTCAATTCTCGAGACTGGGGATTGAGGAATGCAACGAGTTTGATGTTTGTCAAGCTCCTGGTGCGAGTATTCGGCGTGCGACGGGATAAAAACGACGAGTGTGCATCGAAAAATTCGAAAACTCTGTCTCGGTTTCGAAGCGAGTTTCCAAGTTTATGGAAAGTGATGGAGTCTGAAGTTTTGGAAGCTGTTCCAGCCGTAAAAGTGGACATGGATGATATCGATAAACGAAGACAAGTCGTGAAAGTGCGAACCAAACGGAGTTTAGTTCCAGTCCTCATTTTGTTGCGCCATTTGAAACCCACGGAAGAACGCGAAGAGGTGCGACACGGAGTCGTGCGGGGTCTTCTTCGGTGTTTAAGAAGCGAAGATTTGGAAACTAGATCTTTGGCTGGAGATGCAATCTTATCACTGACCAGGTGTGAAGAAATTCCCCGGGTTCTTGGTGACATTTTCTGCAAGTTGCCGGATGCAGTGTGGAATGAGGGCGCTTGTGGGGTTGATGGTTTGTTGATCACAGCAAGGAAGCTTTTGGTTTCACCTGGTTTCAATGCTGATAAATTGCCCGTGAGTGCTGCAATTTCATGGCTCGGGTATCTGATGTCGGTACTGTCTACGGCTAACACAGAGAAGGTTGGTGTGCTCAGTTCTTATCAAGTCTGGAAAAAAAATTTAAAAATGTACCCTTACATTTTTATGTAAGCATACACAAGTATGCTTTCTGTCTTTTCTCTCATCTTGAGTTTTAAAATGTTCAACAACGTCAGAAAGGAATTACATTTTAATTTTTAAAAAATGATATCCAACTTGAAAAATGGCTGAATCGAAAAAAAAAACGTTTGAATCAACCGTCATACTTTTCGATGATTTATTTTTCTTGCAAATGTATCTGTGGCTGATTCGCTAATTATTCTTTTTTTTTTTTACGTACTTTTAGCCGATTCATCTGCTTCGTGGAAGAGCACTAGACGTGATAACCATATTCATGGCGAAGCGGATGATCGACGAAGGTGGAAAGTTTCTCGTATTCGAGTTGCTCGGCTCGTGCGACATCAGCGCTGCCCTGAAACTACCCAGCTGGGAACCCGGGGTACTCACGTATAAAATATCCACCTTGTCGTTATTACTATCTGCTGCCTTGGGCATGAAACTTCCGTGGAAAAGCTTCGTTGCTTCGTTGACATCTATGGCTCAGGCTTGCGAAAACGACGTTGACGTTATAACCGTGGTAGTGGAATTCCTGAGTGTTTTGGTCGGTGTCAAGCCCTTGGTTACGCGCGAAGTGGACTGTGTGTTGCTTGAGAAAAATTTGGTGAATGTGAAGGAAGCAGAGTCGAAAGAGGTTTTGGAGCATTGTGAAAAACTGCTCGTTTTCTTGTGGAACGTTGGTGTTGAACTGGATGACAACGTGCTCATGGCGGGGATGAATTGGTTGCTGGCTGAAGTTGTCAGGCTGCGAGGCTTGGACGATGATGGGTTTGTCGAGCAGATCGTGGCTCATGCTGTGAAGTGTTCACGGGACACTTGCGTTCATGATCTGAAGGTTCGTCTATTTTTTTTAAATCTCTGCTTTCTATGTTGAAGTTAAGAGGCTTTCAGTTGAAGCCATAGCGGACCGTGTTACGATGTTCTCTAGGTCCTTCTCGCACGAACGTCTGACATTCATGACGCCATGCATTCTGTGTTTCACTGTATAGGTGTCGCCTCCAGTTACTGTAGCAGTCAGAAGTCTTCTCAATTACAATGTACAGTACGTGTACTGTACAGTCAAACCTCCGTTAGTCGACCGTCAAGGGCGCAGCGAGAAAAAAAAAACACAAAGTTGAGTTAAATGAAGTAATGAACAAACACTTTTGTTGGTGGAAAGGTAGAAGTATTACAGGAAATTGTAATTCATGATATTCTGGGTCCTAAATTGTTTCTCGAATGAGTTGTCAGTATGCTCAACTTGAAGGCAAGGGTTCATTTTCCCGAAAGTGTTTCCATTCCTTTAAAAATGCATCAAGCTTAATTTTCATTTATTTTTTCTTTCCTGTGTCAATAAAATACTGTAATTGAGAAAAAGTCTCCAAAAAATTCTAGTTATGGCGGGTTGAGAAAGAAAGCCTTTGAGTCAGGGTGGTTTCTAATTCATTGTTTCTAAAGGAATTCAGACGGGGACTTCTTAAAAAATTGACATGGGGAGGTTTTTGACTTTGGGAGGTTTGATTTATCGAGGTTAAACTGTGCAGTACAAAATATCACTATCAGATTATGTTGATCAGGGCAAAATTGACATTCTGTCTTCAATCTTGGTGAGGTAATTTAGATTTAGGCAACATCTGCGTTCTAGGAAAAAAGTTGAAGCTTCCGAGTAAAAGAAACGACGTTCGTAGTTCATTACTGATTCCATATTCTGGGTAATTCCACTTGAATGCCAAAAACTTGCGATGAATGTAAAAGAATAAGTTCTGCTGGAAATGCATGGTCTCACTGTTAGTCGTTCTAGTGCTGTAATTTAAATTCGAACGGTATATGCTTAATCATGGAAAGCCAAGATTTGAACTGCTCAGACTTTCCAAAGGTCGAAGTATTACTCATTCTGAAATTTTATTTAATTATGCATGATCAGGTATTCAGGCTAATGATTTAGGATTATGATTGTCAGATTAAAAATAATCTTGTGATTATATTCAGTGTGGGATAAGCTTTCCCCCTTAAGGTAATGTCGCACTTTTAACCGTTGCATTGTGTCGTGCGAGACTCAAGTGCATCAGTAACTGGTTATAAGGAAAGCAATATTTTGAAATTTATTCAAATTTTCTTACTGAAGGAGTCACTTTTATGCAACCATTTCTTTGTTATGCATGTCGCAGACACTGGAATAAAGTTCCCTATTTTAAAAAACACGTACAGTATTTCAACGACAGTTCAGCGTGTGAGTAATCTCGAATTTTTGCAGAAAGCTTCACTCTCGCTGGCATTTGCATGCATTACATCACCCAAATGTAGCGAGAGAAATCAGCTGGATGATGTTGTGGGTGACCTGGTTACGATAGGGTCGAAGCCACAATCCGACGTCGAACTGAAGCTTGTCACTGCCGAGTTCCTTCTAACGGTGTCTCGACTCCGTCCCGACCTTTTCAAACATTGTGGGCCATTTTGGGATGCCTTGTATTTGCTTCTCAACAGCGCCGAAGATAAAGTGAGATGTTTAATTTGTTGCGCTGTGGATGCCTTGGATTCCGGTGTAGAGACGAACGGGTTGTGTGCTAGTGAAGAAGCTAGTTTGCGAAAAATGTTGAATGTTGGTAAGAGCCGAGTTTCGAATGATGTTTTCAATGCTCGGATGCTGAGCTGGGTTTTCTCGTTGGGTGACGCTTGTGAAGGCGAAGAATCTGACTTGATGTTGGACGATGCATTTATGAGCTTTCGGGTCTTGGGTAAAGTTCTCTTGGAAAATTTGGACCCGGGAGACGGGATTTGTTTGCCCAGTTGGGTTTCACGAAAGGAAAGTGAGACTGTTGAGGAATCGTTGTTGCGCTTTTTGCGAAGTACCGTTGAACTGGTTTCTTTTCAAACGGGTGTGAGAAGTTTTGCAGAAGAGGAGTTGTTGCTAAGGCGAATTTTCATCGTTGCTGGAGTCCTGCGGTGTTCTGATTCAAGAGTTGATGAAGACGTACGGGAGACGTTTTTGTCAACCACGCTTTTATTTGGAAGGACTGAGTTGCATTCGGATATTGGGGACTTGTTGTTTGGGATGAAGAAAATTTAATCAAAAGCCTCAAAGTGATCTTTGATGTGGCCAGCCCTAAATCGACTATATTATGTTATTTGTTTTTAGTAGATGCTTTAGTTTGGCGGATTTCTCCAAAAATTTGGGGAGTGACTGCAAATTTTAGTTTCTTATGTGCGTTTCAGACATCCAAAAGTATGGGATAATTTGCTGTGCCCCTCCTCAAAAAGCAACATACAATGACGTGTTCATTTCTTCCCACTTTGGGCATAGTGTTCACATTGCCAAAGTATTTTTCGTTGTTTTTGTTTCTCTATCATTGCCGAAGTCCGTGGCCTTGAGAGTTCTCGCAATAACTATTTTTATTTTCTTTTCGCAGAGAGTTTGAGACGCGCGCAGTTGTGATCTCCGGAGCTTTTTGTTGAAAGAAAAATTATCACGTTTCTTTGTCATGGCGAATGGTGACGCTAACGCATTACATAGCCCATCGAGTGATGAGGAAGAAGGGAGGAACGTTTCGGTCTTGGGCGAACTTTTGCCTTCAGCAAGGTCACTGGATTTGAATGCCAAGCCTGGCAGGAAGCGCTCTGTTGCTGCGACATCTGTGAATACTTCCCTCAACAAAACGCTGCCGAAACATAAACGTGGCAAGAAAAGTAAATTAACTTTCCTTGTACTCTTCCAGTGCGTGTTGAATTTTTGTGTGAAAAAATGTTTGAGTGAGAAGATTCTGCTTAAATACAGAATGGAGATTATAAATTTATAATTGAAGGAACTTTGGCTGAATTGAACTCATGAGAATGATGAATGACCGATTACAGGAGACTTTCACTACAAATCAAGTCAAGGGACCAGAAAAAAATCGCTGTTGAGAAGCCCATGTGGCCTAAAAAGAGTCCCTTATAAAGAGAATATTGTTGTAGACAAGATTGTTGTGTAAAGTCCGCTTGTATTTTGATCTTGTACAAGTGCATTTATGTACCAGAACAAATGTGTTCCTTTGATGTGTGATCTCCTTGAAATCAGTTTTTCATAAGCCAGAATTCCAAGGATGTAATTCTGTGAAGGATCAGGATGCTGAAAAATTTTTATTGAAGCTTAGTGCTGAATTTCAAGGTGAAATTGCAAGCATTTAGATAATGTCAAAATGCAAAAATTGTGTCCCAAATTTCTCACTCTTTCTCTTACATTCAATGTGGTTAAGTTCTCTTCTTTTCAAATTTGTTCTTTTGTCTTGGAGGAAGTGAAACTTGTTTCACCTCATCCCATGAGAATGAAATATTTGTGATTGGGTACAGAAGTCAAGTCAATGTGCTGACAAGGATTTCATGAACCATAAGCATCTTCAATAGTGAATCACTGAACAAAATTTGATTGCTTTCCTATTGTGAAATAAAGTATTAAAATGAAAAAAGAAGAAAAATAAGTAAAGAGGAAGAATAAAAAGAGAAAGAATTAAAAGGACTAGCAATGCTTTTCTTCCAATTGAGGTTACAAATGTACTGTACTTGAATTTCAAAGTATAAAAGAAAAATTTCAAATTCACTTCTTTAAATTTGGCTCCAAAACTGAAAAATTTTTCAAAATCCATGCTTTACAAATTTTATCTTTGAAAGATGAGAAATGTACTTCTACTCAACTTTTACGTACTTATTTTATGAAGTATGTCACATTTTGGATCATGTTAGTCTTGGACAAATTGTAGATTTTCCATCTTTAAAAATTCATTTTTTCATTGCAGTCAACGTTCCTCAGACGAAGTACAAAAAGCTGAATGAAGCTTTGGCCAGGCAGTTGAATGATGAGCGTCAAAAAAATCAGGAGCTTTTCAAAGTGGCTCAGGAAAACAAGATTCTATTGCAGGAACAAGTGACAGAGACCACCAGGTTCAAAAATCTGTACAGAGGTGTCTTGAGCAGATCTACTCCCAATGCTGGTGCTGCAACAACGCAGGTAAATTTCACTCATGAAAATGTCTATTCTTTTTCATTTGAATCCTATTCCTTTTTTTTTTCAGCGCACGTTTCTCAACTCCTTGTGCATAGACATACAAGCAATGCACACAGTGCTGAAGTCCGAGGGAAGGGAGATACAATTAATGAAGGAGAAACTTGGATCAATGGAGCGACTTCGTCAGACACATGTTTCTGAGTTGAACGCGCTTTATCAGCGAATAGTTCATGCTCGTGACGAAATCTCGGACATACAGGACATGGATGTACAGGATGAAGATGATGGAGTGCAGTCCACGTCTGGTCATCAAGAATCCTCCGATGTGCATCGTGAGATTCTTAGCAGAAAGTCAAAAGGTGTTTGTCTGCCACATGTGAGTGGGGCTGCAATTAGACAGGTGAGTTTAAAAA